ACTCAAGCCACTCCGCTCCACCAGAGTCGTCTTTCAAGCTCATCTACAAGGTGAGGCTAAATGGTGTACAAAGGGAGTCAGGTTTCGGCTTTTATGTATGGCGTAGGCGCTGGTAGTTCGTCAATACAACCCTGAACTCTGTATACAGAAAAGTTTGTCCAGTCTCTTATTCTACCATGGTGTCAACCCCTTCATTGGTCGTTCCCTGTAATTTTTGTATTTTTAATTTTAATGATTATTTTGCTTTTCCTCTAATAATTAATTCGCCATTGTCACTGTCACATGTTCCTTTTGTACGTTATCTCACCCTCTTCACAGTTGCTGAATGGATACTCAACCACCTTCTCGTTTCTCACTCAATAACAACTTCGACCTTATCAAATTCCTAAAGCTTTTTTCTTTCGCGCCTTTGAGTACAATGTAATTTGTAACCTTTAGTATTACTTCCGAAGCCACTTCTGAGTAATGATATCAATTATATCACCTTAGTTGTATTACTCAATAATGGACTACTATACATTTTTGGTACAGCCTATGAAGACGATTTCGTTGATAAAGGAAGTTTTCTTCTCGCATGGGTCTTTTATTTTCTTGATAACGAGGAAATTAACGGGGGAAAACGTAGAACTGGAGTTAGACCATAAAGGAAATAAAGGAAATTAGTATAAATATTGCCACTCCCCTTTCCCTCTCCCTCTCTCTCTATTCTTCCACACTTTGATTCCTTTCTCTTTCTTTTCTCCCAGTTTACTTACATTATAGAAGATACAATAAGAGAAATGGTTGGATTGCGACAGGAAAACAGCTTTCCAACAGCGTGTAATCATTTTTGCTCTTTTGATCACTGTCTGTATTATCACTACCCCTTTTTTTCTATTGCCCAATTCAAACTTCTGATTTAATTTGCTTTTTCCACTTCCTATTTCCTCTCCCTCTCTCCCCTAATTTCAGCCATCATCAGAATCATTATAAAGTTTGAGTAGATTGAAAATCCCCATTGAGTCATATGAAAAAGAGAAGACATTCAGCGAAGAGACTCTTTTCGGCGAATTCATTCACATAGCTGTACAATCGCATTTATATATAAATATTTGTGTGTGTGTGTGTGTACATGAGGTTTGTCAAGTTTAGATAATTGATTAGTTAATACAAGAATGACAAAGTTAATCAGATAGCAACTAAAGTAAGACTGAGTTAAAAAACTAGATGACGTAATATAATTGGCTAAAATGTTACAACTTAGGTCAGGATAGCAACAGAGGTAATTACAGGTAGAGATTAAGTAGAAGTGAAATTGAGTGAATAAGTTGGATGACGTAACATGAATGACTAGAAACTGAGCGTTGTTCAAGTCAGTAACAGTGGTAGTGGGGTGTAGAGATTGAATCGGGTGGGGGTAGAGAACAAGAAAGTTGAGAATGTAAAATGTTACAATTGAGAAGACAAAATAATACTAATGAAGAGACAGAAAAAAAAAAGATTAGGTAGAATTTACATGTTGGCTAATAAGATAGATTACGTCCATTGCAAGTGTAGCGATTGAACGAACTTCTTCTGTATGCAGAGTTCAGGACTTAGCAAGTGAATCGCCATTGCTTCTGCAGTTTGAAGAAGTCTGATTCGTACACCTTTAGGGAGACCACCTCTTACTCTGTAGACGACGTTGAAGTTTGTTTGCGGTGTAGCTTGGTGTCCGGATTCTATCAGATGTTCTAAGATGGAAGTGCGGGGGGCATCGATTTTCTCCTTTGTAAAACCATGCTGGTAAGTGCTCGGTGATACGTTTGGAAAGCGAGCGCTGGGTACGGCCGACATACCTGGCTCCACACGAGCAGGTGAATTGACAAACCTCATGTACACACACACACAAATATTTATATATAAATGCGATTGTACAGCTATGTGAATGAATTCGCCGAAAAGAGTCTCTTCGCTGAATGTCTTCTCTTTTTCATTATAAAGTTATCTAATGATGATAAGATGTGTAGAAAAATGAAAGCGTATACGATTACCGACTGCTGTTTCTAGTTTTAAGAAAAGAGCTTAACTGTTTTACAAAGATTAATTCAATGCAGATGCGCAATAATTAGTTAACAATGAGTTGCACACACACACGCACTCGCACACATAGTAATCCAAGTAGTGCAAGGGATACATGAAATAAATGCGAGTTCTACAATTTAGAAAGGCATTTCAAATGGTTTATAATATAATAATGTTACATTATTAGAAAATTAGCAAATACCAGTTATTAAGGTGAGACGCAGGTTTAGAATTGTAATTACACTATTCTATACACTAGTGGTTGGTTCACATGAACATTTGCATAACGCTCGACTTCAGCCAGATTATCGAAGTGATCCAGTACATTAATGGAGGCGTAGAACTTGGGCCTTGTAGTGGAATTAAATTCCATATTACATAAGCTTATTTTAAATATCACACAGCGATGATACGGTATTATAACAACTGGATGACAAAGTTTCGAGCATTTTCTCTCTGCCTCTCTAACTTCACTTTGTTGTTTGTTGCCATTTTTTTCTCTATCTCCGAAATAGGTGTTGCGTCATTCCGATTGCACGTGTGCGATGTTGAATCGATAAACAAAGCTTCAGTGATTAACCTCTCTCTCTCTCCATCTGACTATATTACCCTTCCAAGTGTTGGTTTGCAGGGATTTGATTGGTTTCAGGATTTCATCATGAACCGACATCGGTTAGAGAATCATTGGAAAACCTGTAGCTGTTTCGTCAGTCTAGTTTGGAACTCCTCATCAGTACTCACCCACCACCAGGACTCAAACCCAGGACCTTCAGTTTACAAAGCGAGCTCCTAGATCATTAAGACACTGGGACCAGCCAATTCGATGACCAGTCCATGAATTCCAACTTCTGCCAATTCATGACATGGTGTTATCCCTAGCAAATGTCATCGCTGGCGAGTATTTGTCCTCACATCCGACCTACTGTACGCCACTGGTCATCACTCCCCAGTAGAACCCAGGTAACTACCTGGGCCAGTCCCTAGTGAGCATCAGATTGATATCGAAATGTTGATTTGCAGGTATATTGCTTTTTAATACTCTCACCCTGTCCAATCCACCCTATTTTGTGATTATATGCAAGTGAATGCAGTCCAATGGCTGAGCTTTTTTCTAGGTTATCAAGGTTAACTTATCAAGGCCAATTATCCTGGATCTAGCTAAGTTTTTATATTCCATTGATCTAGTTCACCCCGATCTACTAGTTTTGACCTATGTAATCTAATATACTAGACAGCTCTTCAACTCATTTGCAGTCGACCTCATCATTAGTCCATCTAGTTTGGCTCATCTCAGACAGCTGACTGACTGACTGACCGATTCGGCTGATATTTTGAACCACTGATCGACATATATCAGTCAGCTATGCAGGCAAAGTTGACATTGAACTAAGTGATATAACGCTGAGATATACTTGACTCCAGTATGAACTAATTAAAAGACCGTCAGAAAGAATTACGGCTAGGACACGTTTTTCGTACTTATGGGATTGAAACTGTCGTTGGGAAAAAGAAAACGTTTCATTTATAATTCAAATCCACACTATTGTGTTACAAATCAGCACACTGTATCGGCAAGATATTTAATTTCAAAAAGGAGTGTCTTCTTGTAAATGTAAGCAGCAGTATGATGAAAAGGTTTGAATAAACATACTGCCATTTCCAGTAGATGACTTTGAACTATTTAATTCTTAAATGCTGGTTCACGGGGATATCTGATTGATTTCAAGTGGGATAAGGGCTGACATCAGTAAGAGAGCTACTGAAAATCACGGAGTACTGGGCATCTATTTTGCCCACGCCTCGTGGCTCTCTTCTCTAGTATGCACACACAAGTCAACCAAGGGTTCAACCCAAAACCTTCAGAGGCGATCTCGTAGACTTCTAATAAAGGATCTTTACCAGTGGGGACATCCAAGAGGTGTGCAAGGATAGGTACTTGCCGACAACATTGGTTGGTGGTGGTGCCATATATCTCAAATCGACAGGAGTCAGAATTTGTGTGTAGGCCAATGGAATCTGTCCAAGTGGTTGAATAGTCAACGGACGCGATGTTGCTTTTAACCGTTATGATGGAAAAATTGCCTGAAAAATTCCTCCTAGACTATCTAATCACAATACCCATACTAATTTGGATGCTTCAACTAAATTTGTAATTAATATCCGTTTTTCTCCTAGATTGTATATCATTATTTTACATCTGCATATCATTTGTTGATCTGATCCTTATAATTTGTCCTCGTCCTTGTAAAGTCTCTAATATCAGTGTAATAGTGTGTACACTGATAATGTGTTGCACAGTGCGATTTCGTTTGAGTTAATGGAGGTCATTTTGACCCTGGACTGGTAGTGGAAAGCGTTGGTGTGTGAATCTTATGGACAAAGTTTTGATTCCAACCTTTTAGGAGTATTCTGCTTGCTTCTAAGTGCTTGTTTTGTAATCATACTGGGCTTTATAGCTGTAATTTTGAGTTTTTGATGTTACTTCCGTCTCTTTACTATCTTCGGAGCGTTTCGTAACTGTGCATGTCTCAAGGGAGTTTCTCCAGCTATACAGTAGAACGCAGAGATCATTTTCCTGTGTTCATACCATAACCAGTCGGTTTTAGTTGCTACAAACTCAGGGTAGTGGATGCGCTTTGCTGAGGAGTTCCAAAGTGAGACGAAACAACTGTATGGTATTCCCTGGTTTTCAGCGGTTCTCTAGCAGTAGACTGTCCTTTTTAAACAATTATTGCATGACTGGAGACGTCCAGTAAGAAGGCCAACAAAATCTGAAACTGCACACATGTTAGTGAAACATCTAGCTTGGTGACGCCACTATGAATTCCGGCTGATAGATTCCACTAACCATTGTGTGCGTCTAAAAACGTTAACAGGCACTTAGAAATAAAGCCAACAGCTAAGCGAAAGCTCAAAAAATTTCACACATAATGACACCATATTACTGGCAGACTCACCACGAAATCTGAACAGTCCTTATTCATGGAATTGCTAAAATCATTCGATGCACAGAATTCATTGCTTGACAGCTCTTTAACTGATAACGACGAACATGTCTGAGATTCTTGTGCTGATAAATTTCGAAGTAAACCAACTGATTCACTATCCGTCTTGGCGTTCCCGTCTAATATATTCGTTGTGGTTGTTGTTGCTGTTGTTGTCGTTAGCATCGTAGTGTCTGAAGCCGTTGACATTGCAGAATTTACAGCCGATTTGTTATTCTTAGCTGGTTCACAAGAATCGCGATTTTCTTGTGCAATTAACAGCACAACCTTTGATTTACTTTGTTGAAATAAGTCAATTACATGCTCCCTTGACTTGATTACTTGACCGTTGATTCGTAATATTTGATCACCACTTGAAATCTGTCCACTTTGAGCAGCTAAACTATCGAATTCCATCTGAAGTTCAAATACAATTAAAATACACTGTTTAGTTTGAAAAGTTATTCAAATATCAATAGGTAATATTTTCAAACGACAATAGTTAGCATGTAATTTGAATGTCACATTGTGCGCGATCACTGACTATTATGTGTGAAAAAGTAGAGTAAATTAAACCAAAAGAACTAATTGAGTTGTTTCGATCAATCAAGTGTTCTTTCGATTAGACACTAACTAGTGTCATGTGTCTAATCCTTTGTTTACTGCAGACTGTATTCTACCAGTCAAGTTTTCAGCAACAGTGGGGCACAGGTCCGAATCTCAGAAGGGACATGAGTCGCTTCAAGATTGCAGATTCGCCTTGATGACGGGTGAGTGCCAACTAGCAAGAAAATTAGGTTCAAGGCTTGCTGCCGACTGCCTCCAACCATCTGATAACAACAGCATGGTAACCAAATTGCAAACTTGACTGGTAGAATTCATTATTCAGTAAACAAATGACTAGATACATCACAATAGTTAGTATTTGATCAGAAGTATCTCCAATACAGTCCTACAGGTGGTTGATCGCGAGCCCAGAGAGCTCAGTAGTAATGACTCTGACTGCAGCACACTGGATGACGCTGCTTTGAATCTCAGGAAGGTTATGAATTCCTTCAAGATTGCGGATACGCCTTGGTGACTGGTGACTGCCAGCAAACATGAAACCTGGGTCTAAAGCTTCCTGCCGATTATCTTCAACCATCTAATAACGACAATCAAGTGTTAATCAAAAAACTAGCAAAAAGTCGGTCTCGGTGTATTCTTGAGTGCTTAAAAATAAAGCATTTCTCTCTTTATAGTACTCTCTAAAAGGATGATTATAATTCTATTTTTGGAACAGATGTTTGCAAAAGCACATAGTGATCCAGTCTCTTTTCTATTCCTTGAGTTCCGAATAGAGCATGAGACCTCAAGCTTTTAGAATTTTAAGTGCTATGGTGTTGTATTTACGGGAAGAGGTAGCTAACCTCACCCCCCAAACTCCCCTCTTTATCGGGCTTGCTACCGGCTAGGAAAGGTTTAAGAATGCGTCAGCTGAGAAATGAATGTAGACCACATGAGAGGTCGGCAAGCATTCTACGGAGATGAACCGCCGATAAACCTTTGAGTGTGTAATGACTACTAAACCGAAGTATTCTGTTTCCTGCATTTTATTGAAATTATCGCTGGTATTATTGTTGCAAGTAGTTGTTTTGATATCTTATTAGAGGGAACATCAAGACAAAAGTAGTGTTAAACGCAGAATAAACCTTTAAGATTAAAAATACCGATGTACTGCTTCATTACACGTACGTGGAAGGAATTTTTTCATCATTATTGTCATGGTTATTCTGAATCAACAAAACGTGGGGTGTCTCCTTCTTTTCAGTCCCTTTGATTGTTGTCGGAAAAACTTCTGAAATGTACTCAGTGGTTGGTGATCAGAATGGTGTTTCTTCCTGGTTGACCACCTGCATTATTTTCACTGGTACCGCTAATGATACCACCATCCACGTATTAATACGTTCCCTATGTACTGTATGATAATGTTGAATTCCAATTGACATGCTTTTCTGTATTTTTTTAAAGGCATAAATGTTGAAACCTCTTGAATTCTGCGTGAAACTTGTGTGTTTATAAACACTGCTTGTTGTACCGCCTAATTTATTTTACAATCCTGAACACAAAGCGCTTCAGATTAGTGTTATGTAAGACACTTTTAAAAGGAACACAGATAGAGGTAATAAAGGAATTATAATCTCTGGAGTAGGTTTAGGGCAGCTGAAAGTAGCCGGCTGAATGGTGTGTACAAGAAACACATACACACCAACACAAAGAGTGTCATTTTGAGAGAAAATTACGAAGTAGCGAGCACTAAACATTACTGCACACAGTATAGCACTAATCACTTCAAAACGGAGTTGTCAGCTGTATAATCAGAAGACTTCAAGTACACAACCTAATTCATCAGAACGAATAGGATGGAGGACATTTTTGATTATTTAAAAGTTAGATAACTCATAAACGAGGTTATCAGAGTGGAGTGTAGCACAGTAATTGATCTGATATTCTCTCCATGAACATGTCCGTCGGTGGCACAGTGGTTAGGACTCTCGCCGACCATGCACATGGTCCGGGGTTCGATCCCCTGCCGACACACACCCGATATCTATGGTCGGCCTGTGAAATTTGGGCTACCAATATCCATGCTGAAACTTCCATACTTGTACTGAAAATACGGTGTGGCATCAAGCTGTAATCAAAATTAAAAATTAAATTAAAAATTAATCAGTTCACCATATTGATACTTCTTTGAATATTTCATGTAGTTTTTCAATTTTTACCCTTTTCCCCTAACTTGTATATCATCGCTGTAACATTTGCTTACCTGTTTTTTGTCTCAGGGCCTATTATTTGTTCTTTTTGGTTAATTCCACTCATGGAACATCAGGCTAGTGACTACTGACTAAGTAGGATTGGGAGTGAGTTATAAATTTAGGTTAGGAGTGGACGCTTTCTAATTGTAGAATGGATAGATTACATGTAATTCTCACTTGGTGAGAGGATTAGCATATCCGGAATATTGTATTTCGGATATGATAATGAAAAACATCCATGGTAAATCAGACCAAACCGGGTATTGTCGAATACGCTTGTTAGTAGTTACGCGGTTCTTTGAGAATGGCCATTCTGCGTAGATATCCTCGTACGTTTTGACATCAACAGTTAGATCTTCTGTTTTTATTACTATTCCTTTTGTTCATAGAGGAACATAGGGATTCAACCACACGTCAACGTTTTCACGTGGCTCCGCGTCTGCCCATATGCTTTCATCTCCTATTCGCATGACCTCCTCCATATCACCCTCGCACTGAATATCAACTTGCCGCCTCCTATTCGGATTCCAATAGAGAGCTTGGCGTGTGATGGCTCTTGATGGTTCTCCTGTTATAGTACCATATTCGAAACACGCCTAACTTTTTCGTTCCCTAGCATTCCAAGGAGAACATACAGCTTCAAGCTTGACACTTCTATGTCCAGTAGCTATGGTGCTGTTTTTACAGAATAGGATCGGTAGACTCACTTCCAACTTCCACTCCCCACCTTGCTTACTACTAGATATCTGATGTTTGGTGAGAAATCGAATTTGGACCACATTCGTGGCTGGTGAGTAAAGTGCCACTCAACCAATGACTTAGACATATGTTAACGAACTAATTAACTAACTATTGTGAAACCCAAGTGATACAGTCGATCAATAAATTCTATTTCATCAAATCAGAAATGTCGTGCAAACTACAAAAAATGAACTGATCAAGTGAAAGTTAGTTACAGTTGAACAAAGAAAATTGTAATTTTAAAAACAGCTGGATTGCTGACATTCTATACAGTAAGTGTTTCTGAAAATAAAGGGCACAGCAGTAAAAAGCTTCTGAATAAATATCATCACAAAAATTAACATATTTCGACATATTTACTATTAACTAAGAGGTATATATGACTAAGCATTTTAATCAGTCAGTTGGAATTCGCTGTCTGGTGTTTAGACAAATTTTATCTGGCTGGCTGGTAAACACTACTGCCTCATGTGAACGACATCTAACTACTCATATCAGTAGTATATATATTGTCGTGTATTCATAATCGCTCTGTTGGATTACCATTTATGGTATCAAGCAGGTCATGTATTTTTCGATCTTAACAGTTTCGATTTCTAGAAAAAACGGTGAAATTTTCCCTGGTAGAAATGTGTAAATTGCAAATTGAGAATTCTTTCCAAACTGTGGTTCCCTTTGAGTTTTTTGTCAGTGATTGTTTATGAGAAACGCTGTAGCGACAGTTAACTGTATAAAGAAGTATTGATTGATGGATGTGTTTGAATTCGTCATCGAAGCTTAATCAGTGTATGCTTTAGTTACCTTTGCAGACTTCAGTCTCCCCACTTATCAATAAGATGCAGCTTTTCTTCTATGTTTATAAACAGAAATACGTTTCCATTTATGAATGCGAAACGTATTCAACCATTGTCTTATCTTTGATATGCGATCGTATATTTGATGTTTAACTTCTCGCGTGTCAAGACTCAGAGAACACTAGGCAGTGAATGTCAACCAGTTAAGCATTAGATCATCTTTACTAACAAAACATGAAGTATGACAGCTCAGCTATTCCGACACTGATCGTTTATTCAACGATAGATGTTCATAGTCTTCGAAAGAAGTATTGCATCATTGCGAAACGGTTGGCTGTTTTTATGAAATTAATGCTTGTCTGCTCGTCTGTTATCTAATCAGAACATTTATATTTCCTTTAAGGTTTGACCACGGATTGATATCAGTTGGAGAATCATTGAAAACCAGGGAATACCGGACAGCTGTTTTGTCAGCCTAGTTTGGGACTCATCAGTGGTGAGCACCCACCGCTGCGGATCGAACCCAGGACCTTCCAGTCACAAGGCAAGCCCTCAAACCATCCAGCCCATGGCCCATGGATTCTAAGTCCTACCTATTTGTGATGTCAGCGCGACCACCAACCAATGTCATCGACAGGAACTCACTTCTAACTGAAAGGTCCTGAGTTCGAAACCTAGTGGGTGCGTACTACCAATGATTCCCAAACTAGGATGAAACAGTTGTGTGGCAATACTCCCGGGTTTTCAATGGTTCTCTAACTGATATCAATCCGTGATCTGACCTGAACCAATTAGAATCCGTACAAAAACCAGTTCTTGAGAACTTATATCTCCACAGAAAATACAGCGAGTATTTCGATAAACAATAATGGAAATCTGTTTGAATTGAAACAGTTTTTGAAGTTGTTAAAGACACCCGCCAGGACATTAAAGGGAAAAGAACAAGAAGATCAGCAAAAACATCTTTTTGGCGATCCCCACTGATTGTTTACACATTTGGCGGTGTACTCTGACTGTTTGGTTTATAGATTAGTCCTCATACACCTACATTTCCCGTTGTACTTAAGCCTTTTGTCATAAATTATTTAGCATGTACAAGAAATGCTAAATAATAGATATGTTTATGGTACAGACTATTTATTTCGATAACAGTATGAAGTTATGCAGAGGACTGCAACAAACCTACTGATCATGTACAACTGTACTGTCTTATTGTGACATCCTTACTAGTCGTTTTTATTCCCTTTGTATCCTACTGGGACATTCAGATTCAGCGGCGTGCCAGCGTTTCATCACTGTGTTCTCTGAAGTCATTTTAACTGGCTCAGTGATTGCACACAGACTTGCATTTCTTCCTCACACAATCTCCTGAATGACACCCTTGGACTTACACTCACTGAGTTGCCTCCTATTCATGTTCCATTAGAGGGTATGTCTGTCGTGTGGTGTCACTCAGTGATCTTCTCAGTGTGCGTGTCTTTCATTTTCTTCTGCATATCTATTGTTTCAACAACAGGCTCTTATCTTAATTAGTGAATTATTCACGGAGATATAATCAACATAACTGAATGATGAACATCGCAGCTTCTAAAGCAATCGATTCTTAAAACCATAAAATCTCACTTAATCAGTACAACTCCATCTTCATATTACTACCTTACTATGACAGAATAATACTCAAGCCTAATAAATTCTCAAAACAGATTTTCATTTTGCTCGTGTATACAGGTCTCGACAGCGTCGATCGACAGGTAATTTAGAAACTACTTAGCTACCACGCGATATTTCCAAAAAAGTATACATCTCATCTAACAGTGGTACGATAATGCTACATGCCAAGTAATCCATAATGGGAAACTCACGGAACCCTTCGAAGTGAAGATAGGGATTTAGACAAGTTGACTGGTCACCAATGATTTTCCTGATTTCAGTAGACTGGATAATACGAAAAACAGTGGGCAATGAGGAAACAGGCATAAAATGGACTCACACAAAAAACTTGGAGGATCTGAACTTCGCCGATGATATATGTCTGATTTCCCACAAACTGGAAGATATACAAGTGAAAAGCAACAAGTTGGCGATAGAAGAAGCATCAAAGATAGGACTTCCTCCAGGTGAACATAGAGAAAACAGAGGTGATGAAGATTCCTGGGCAACACCAACAGCAACAACAAAAACAGACAACAATCAGCATAAGTGAAAGAAATCTGAAAGAAACAACCTCTTTTACCTACCTGGGAAGCGTCGTTTCTACTACAGGCTGATGGGACTGACGAGGATATCAAAGCAAGAATCGGAAAAGCAAGACAAGCTTTCACTACTCTCAAGTCTGTGTGTAGGAGGTCAACAGTACTCAGCATGAAAAATAAGATCCGAATTTTCAGCTCCAATGTGATCAGAGACTTGCACTGCGCGTCAGAAAGAGCATCTCAAACAAACTACAGACCTTCATTAACAACTAGCTGTCTTCGCTCGATACTACTCAAGATCAGATGGCCGGGCAGAAAAGATCAGCAACAGAGATCTCTGGCAATGAGCGAACCAACCAGGAACCGATTGTGAAACAAATATGCAGGAAGAAATGGAGATGGATTGGCCATACTCTGAGGAAACCATCAAGTGACATCACTTGACAAGCCATTGCTCGATTGGAACCCGAAAGGGAAGCGGCGAGTTAGTCGTCAGTGCTGGGGTGACATGGAGGAGGTCATGTGAAGAGGAGATGGAAATGTGTGGGTAGACTTGGAGCCAGGTGAAGACTCTAGTAGAGAACCGAACGGAATGGAGACGTGTGAATGAAGCCCTATGTTCCTCTCAGAATTAAAGGAAACAATAATAATAATAAAGGTCTCGAGGGATAATTCATTTAAAACTTGGCCTTCAATTGAAGTAATGTAATTCACACTAAAATGTTTGACTTGATGCTCTACGAGGGGTATTATCTTTGTCACTTCTATGGCGATATGGAGATGCATTCAACAACAGCACTATGCTATGCATCTTCAGTCGACTCGCAGATTAATTCGTTCAGTTTACCAGTAAAGAAATTAGGAGAAAGTTCTGTCTTTATGTTAACAACTCCACTTCCTCCTCAAGTATAAACAAAACAAACAATCTGAGATATAAGGTAAATAATTCATGAAACGAAAAATACAAACCACTTACATCACCAACAAAAACATCACAGCTTGCATCACATGTATCACCTTGACGATAGCAAAGAGTTAAGCCAAATTTTTCATCCATCGTTTTACGACATAATGTCACCTCCTGTTAAATAAAGATGCAATAAGGATAAATGCGTAGAAAGGAGGGAAGAAAACATCTTAAAGTACACTTCAGTGCTAATTGATGATTACCCAAGGTAACAAAAGGTGTTTAATAAATAATTTGTAGAATTACTTAAACTAAGGAGTCCATGGAACGAACCCGTGACGTTTAAGTTTCATGTCAAGCATTTTTACGGTTCACCCATTGGGTTGGAGTCCACAATGATTCATAAATTCTAACTACTTTTAGCTTGTGGAGCTAGTTACATTCAGTATAGGATTAGGCATGTTTATTTGCGGATTTCTGAACATCATGCTGCATGGTTAAGCAAGAGACAACCAAGGTCTATTCGTAGCTTCGCTTTAGCTAATCTTGTAGATATTCAACACAGAGTTGATGTCAACAGAGTATTCAAAGTTATCCGTGCTCATTCGTCGAACCTTAATTTTACTTAATGAATTCGTCATCTACATATAACTGAAGCCATCAGAGACTACTTGAAGAAGCCGAACTCTTTATGTTCAGAAGGAATTAGCACAACCATTTTTCTTACCTTGACTTTCATTATTTGATTGTAGGAATTTGACTATTTCCCCTTCTCTCAAAGCCATTAACATTTTATCACTATTTTACCTATCTTCTTATTCTACTCTTTAATTGTTGCAGTAGTTTTATTACATATATTATCACCAAAGTGCATCGGTAACACAGAGGTAGAATGCTCGGCAACCACGCAGGTGGACCGGGGTTCGATCCTCGACCACAGACGCACTTCTTTACCTCAATAAGCCAGTAATAAGACTGGTAAAGAGGGAAGGTTGAGCATGAGGCTAGCAACCCCATCCCGTAAAAAATAAACACTATTGCTACCGAAACTTCACGCCTGTATCTTGAAGCCCTATGTTCCACTGGGTAGGTAAAGGAATAAAAAAATATTAGCACTTAAAGATGCTTTTGAACTGTCATTCTAATGATCCCAACAATTCGATAGTATTTAGAGAAAGGCATCAGCGTAATCGATATCAGTTACCCTTTAAATATTATGTGTACATATAACTGTAGAATATGGTGAATTGGAAGTTATCTAAAGAAATATTCTTCGCTCAACACTTTCAAAAATCTTGTGTCGAAATGAGAAATTTCGGTATGGTAAAAATGCAACTGACTAATTGTTATGGCTGGAGGAAACGCATCAGCCACATAAACGGCATGTTAACCAAATCAACTAACACGAAACTGCAGTGTACGTGAATACCAAGGCAGTTATGAGTTTCAAGTTTGATCGCGGATTGATAGTAGTTAGACAACCACTGGAAACCGGCAAGGAGTATTGGACAGGTGTTTCACCCTGGTTTGATACTCTTCAGAACTACACACCCATCATCTCACTGTTAGAAGTCAAAACAAGGACCTCCAGGTTACGAGGCGAGGTCCTTGAGTATTCAACCACTGCGACAGAATCCAATAACACATGAATTCTGACGTCTGTCACTTTGCGACTTTTAGCACCACCGCCAGCCACTGTCATCAGCGAGCAAGTATCCTCACATCCAACCTAGTAGTTCCCACTGGTCACGATTTCTTACAAGAACTGCAAGTAACTTCGTCACTAGTGAGCATCACAGATTGATATGAGTTACAGAACCACTGGCTGGCAGTGACATTAGAATTCGTGAATTCGTAGAAGTTAGAATCCATGACCTCTCCTCTGGATTCCATTTCACTGGTTAAATGGGCAACAAGCTCACCTCATAACCTGAAGGTGCTGGGTTCGATCCCTAGTAGTGGGATGATGACTGCATAATTCCGAAGAGTTTCAAACTATAATGGAAAATGTGTCCAGCATACCCTGGAGGTTTTCAAAATTTCTCTAACTGAAAGCAATCTGTGAACAAACTTGAAGCCAATCAAATGTCTAAAACTAACTAACTAACTAACTAACTAACTAACTAACTAACTAACTAACTAACTAACTAACTAACTAACTAACTAACTAACTAACTAACTAACTAACTAACTAACTAACTAACTAACTAACTAACTAACTAACTAACTAACTAACTAACTAACTAACTAACTAACTAACTAACTAACTAACTAACTAACTAACTAACTGACTAACTAACTAACTAACTAACTAACTAACTAACTAACTAACTAACTAACTAACTAACTAACTAACTAACTAACTAACTAACTAACTAACTAACTAACTAACTAACTAACTAACTAACTAACTAACTAACTAACTAACTAACTAACTAACTAACTAACTAACTAACTAACTAACTAACTAACTAACTAACTAACTAACTAACTAACTAACTAACTAACTAACTGACTAACTAACTAACTAACTAACTAACTAACTGACTAACTAACTAACTATTAACTAACTAACTAACTAACTAACCAGTCTACAAATTCAAAATCTAGGCACAAGTTTTCATTTCTAATTGAAATTAAAATCAAAAATATCAAATATAGGACAGTTTATAAACAGTAAATTAGCATAATTTTGCAAAACAGAAATGGTTGTTTTAATAAATTTTTGGGCAGACATCATCAGAATAAGATAAATAAACGTGGTTCAAGAATGCTTGTCAGTCATAAATGCACCAAGCACCAATGTATAAATATATATACACATACTCTTAAATCAACAAAAATGTTCCCGCTCACTTTGAAAATATATCCACACACACACACTAGATTTTAAGATCAAAGTAAAATAAAATGTATTTAACAAAAAAAATTAAAAATAAACTATAGCGAATACCTGTTTGTATAAATTACCTCTGAATAAAAGAGAAGAAAGCAAAAACAAAATGTAGCGGGTGCGCGCGCACACCTCATCATTATTATTATGATGGTTATTCCTTTTCATCATTTGTGTTTTGATTTGAAAAGGCGCCATAGTTTTTCAGCACACAAATTTTTATTGCACACAATAAAAAATAAAGAAATTTGATGAGATATCCTGTTCAATTATTATAACCATTATTAGTTTTTATTTGGTGTACTGAATCATTCATTTCCGTTTTGTACCCTAGAAATGCTTTATTTTTATTGATTTCGTAATAAATGGTGTAGCATTGAAACTCGCACTAATCAGTAAATATGTATGAATGTGCATTAGGGTCAGGTAGACGGAGTGTGATTCATCAACATTCAAAAAAAGTAAATAAACGGGAAAATTAATTTTTTACACATCATTGAGGTTAACAGGTTGGGATTTTTCATCTCTTGCTAGTGAATGTATGGTTGAATCACGGAGAATGGTAGTAGTATTAGTTGTAGTAGTGTAATTTATGCGGTTTTTATTATTCACCATGTATGCATATAAATAAGTTGTGAGAAAGTAGAGAAATGCTTAGGTAAGTGTAATAATCAAAATATGTTTCTAATGGAGAAGAATATTATTAATCCATTGTATACACGAGGAAACATACTTCGACTATTCTCGTGGACTTTATTGATTCAGTGGTAGAATTCTTTCCAGCTATAGAAAAGGCGGATGTTCATTCCCGGCCGATTCACTCTTACATCTCGCCTGGCCATCTTGCCAGTGGTAACCCCATAAAAAGGGGAAGTTTTGGTGTGATGCTAGAGACATTATTCAGTATAAGCAACACTGTGCCTACAGAAAATTCGAAGCTTGAGTTCGTATGTTTCACTCAGAACACAAAGGATGGGCAAAAACTTTTCACATTAAAGCATGACAATCTCACTTGAAAGCCGTATAGTCATGGAAATGCCTGTACAAGTCAGTCATTAATATCACATTGGTAATAAGACATATGGAATTGTACTTTGGGAAAAAATGGGTAAATTACAGAACTTAGTCACTTAGTCTTGAGTAATCTAAAAGCATCAGGCACACACTGAGGAGGCCATCGAATGACATCGCGCACAATGCAAGCCATTGCCCAAGTGGAATCCCAGTGGTAAGCGACGATTGGGTCGTCAGTGCGAGGGTGACATGGAGGAGATCGTTTGAGTAAAAGGAGATGAGAGATCTTGGGCAATCGTCCTGCAAGCTGAAGAGGACGGCAGTAAAAATGAACAAAGTAGAGATGTGTTGTTGAAGCCCTATGTTCCAGTCAGAACTCAAGGGAATAATAATAATCTAAAATCATTAGGTGATGAATACCGCAGTTCCACCGACGCTTATTCATATGAACAACATTCCTGTTTCCAAGCCCTTGCATTTTTAATGGTAATCACTTCTGAGCTGTCTTCATCACTTAATGTTTTCAGATTATGTAAAACGACTTGACAAGGTCTTCCAAATTATTCATAATTTTTCCTGGATATGTAATTCTATATGTTTTGTTACCAATGTGATATTAACGACTGACCCTTATAGGCGTTTCCATTACCTTTTAGAACACCATATAACCTTCCACTTTAGTATACTAGACGGTGGTTTCTTGTCCATGAATGAAATCTTTTCCAGTTATCGTACAATTTTATTGACTGAACCGTTAGAGTAGTATGTGTAATTACTGACTAAATTTAGCCTCCTTGTCCAACTGCTAAATGGACTATCATAATTAATGAATAAAAAGAGTTGGATACTACTCATGTCGCCCAGTAGCGCTTGCTAGAGGGTCAGATTGAAGTGGTCTAAGCATCAGACAGCTGTTTCGTTAATTTTTGGCCAAGCTTATTAGCAAAAAACCCGGTTTGACTCGGCTCAGAGAGTCAAATCAGTTCGAAGCACGCGAATTCAGGCTAGCTACTTGAGAGAACTGGAAAGAAACTGGACGAAATTCTCAAATTAATTCGTAGACAGTTTGAGGTAAAATCTCACCTCAGTTTCATTTGGAAAATGAAATTATTTACATCATGTTATACGATATCAATGAATGACAATCAAGAAAGCAAGCATAAATGAATAACACCTTTAACTGCTGATTGACTGATGTGAGTAGCGGAATGCCACTGGCACCAGCCAGTATTGCTTGCTACCCATGCTATTTCTCTTGTTTGCTTGCTTAATAGTCATTTCTGGCTTAATAGAATACTGTTTCACTGTGTGATATACCTAATAAACAAACTAATATGGAATTACTTACTACCACAGTGCCCAAGTTTTACACATATATTAATAGAATACCATTAATCACTTAGGTAGTCTTGGTTTGGTTCCATGGTGACGCAGTCCTAAATCAAACCCAGTTCATTGGCTGACGGTAAACTCGATCAAATCAAAACACTACGTATCATCATTGAACAGAGCCTGAAATGGCAGTCAGCTCTCTACCTCAACTTTATCGACTTTGAAAGGGCATTCGACAGCGTTGATCGCGATATTGTCAAAAAATTATGCATCTTATCTGACAGTGGTACGATAATGCTGCGTGCCAAGTACTCCACAAAGGGAAACTCACAGAATGCTTAGAAAAGAAGATGGGAGTAAGACAAGGCTGCCTACTGTAGCCAGTGGTTTTCCTGATTGTGGTAGACTGGATAATGCGATAGACAGTTAGTGGGCAACGAGGAGACAGACAAGTATAAAATGGACCCACACAAAATACTTGGAGGATCTTCACCGACAATATATGTCTGGTTTCCCACAAACTGGAAGATATGCAAGTGAAAAGCAACAAGTTGTCGGAAGAAGCATCCAGAGAAGATAGGACTTCATGTGAACACAGATTCCTTGTAAATAGCAACAGCAGCAACAACAACAGACAACAATCAGTACAAATGGGAGAAATCTGAAAGAAGCAACCTCCTTTACCTATCCACCTACATGGGAAGCATCTTTTCAACTACAGGCGGAACTGATGAGGCTATCAAAGTGGGGATCGTGAAAGCAAGGCAAGCTTTCATTAATCGCAAGTCTGTGTGGAGGTCAACAGCACCACTCAGCAGTCAGCATGAACATGAAAATAAGATCCAGATTTTCAACTCCAATGTCAAGTCATTGCTACTATACGGATCAGAGACTTGGCGCGTCACGAAGGGCACTTCGAACAAACTACACACCTTCATCAACAGCTGTCTTGGCTCAACACTCAAGATCAGATGGCCAGAAAAGATCAGTAACAGGGATCTCTGGCAATGAGCGAATCAACCAGGAGGTGGATTGGCCGTACTCTGAGGAAATAAACCATCAAGTGACATTACACGCCAGACTATCTCTCGAGTGGAACCCGAATGAGAAATGACGAGTTGGTCATCCGAATGTGACACGGAGATGAACGCATGTGAGCAGACGTAGAGCCAAGTGAAGACGTTGATAGAGAACCGAACGCAGATGGAGCCTTATGTCCCTCTATAAACTTAAGGAAACAATAATAATAATAAGCCCGAAGGAAAGGGTAGGTTATTCATGAGGCTATCAGCCCAGGAAAAGTAAAACGACTGCTAATGAAACTTCTAAACTGAAAGCTTGAAGCCTGGCATTCCACCTTGAAAGCAAATGAATGGGAAAAGACAACATCGAAGCATTTGTTAAAGAGATCTTGAATAACAGGAGGTTGATTGCTAACTGGTAAAAAGTTTTTCTACTTTACACTGTCCCTAACAGTCATATCGCATTTGTCTTAAACTTAGTCATTGAATTATAAATCTGACTAATGTTCATTTAGATCTGACTTCTGAACCAGTAGTGATTTATTCCATGTTGTTAAATTCTTCACATCATTTCAACACTGATAAAAAGGATGCAATATTTATTCACTCACCTTTATCCGTATGTTTCCACGTTGACTAGAAGACATTGACTCCCAAATGTTCCCATCATTTCTACTGTCTGTTTTCATATCTGAGATTGTATCATACTCTGGATCGTCGTTTGAATAGAAGCATACACAATTTTTTGATCTATAATCACAGTTATTAGTAGGCGGAGGAATAATATCTTCTTTGGGGGATTTACTATCACCATTATTATTATCATCCTTTTTCTGTACAAGTTCAAGATCTTCTTCAATCTGTTCATTGACTGCATCCACCTCCTCCTCTCCTTCCACATCATCATCATCATCAACGTCGTCATCGTCATCATCTTCTTCAACTATATCCACAAGATCCGGGAAGTCGGAGTGATAAATGCATTCTAAACTGTTAAATTGAAGAGGGAGAGAGAGGGAGAGCGAATGATAATAAACACAAGATATAACGAATATTCGATTTCATTGTTTAACATTAATTTAATTATTTTATTTTTTATTTTTTTTATTTTTGATTACAGCTTGATTCCACACCGTATTTTCAGTACAAGTATGGAATTTTCAGCATGGATATCGGTAGCCCAAATTTACAGGCCGACCATAGATATCGGATGTGCTACGGCAGGGGATCGAAACCCGGACCATGTGCATGGTCGGCGAGAGTCCTAACCACTGTGCCACCGACGCACATTCAACTGAATTGTAGAATGATGCAATGAACATGCTTGACAAGTTTAATGATGCACATTCAGCAATAAACTTTACCATAGAGAAAGAAAGTAATGACAGTATCTCATTTCTAGACGTCTTCATGGTAGGGAAAGAAGATGGCATACTCAGAAGGAGTGTGTATAGGAAACCTACAAAAACAGGTCAGTACTCTCATTTTTTGAGTTTTTCACCACTGAAATATAAACATAACCTGGTAAAGTGTCTGGTTCATAGAGCTAGGTTAATCTGTTCAGACGACTGCCTCAATGAGGAGCTTAAGATTATTAGAGAATTACTTAGAAAAAATGGTTATCCAGATAAATTCATTGAGAAAAATATGAATTCAGCACCTAGGAGAGTCAGTATAGCAACAGTTCCGAAAAAACCAATGTTCATAAAATTGCAGTTCCTCGGTGACAACATCAGCGAAATAATAACACAGCGCCTGAAGAATGCAGTTAAAAGAGCTTATTATGCAGCAGAGGTACGTTGTCTCTTCAAAACCACCCCTATTCTATGTTCGAGAAATAAGGATAAACTACCTAAATTTGCCTCTTCTATGTGTATCTACTAGTTTGACTGCAGCTGCGGAGCCAGCTACACTGGGCGTACAATTAAGCAGGTTCATCATCGTATTTCCGAACATCATCCAACATGGTTAAGCAAGGGACAAACAAGATCTGTTCGTAGCTCTATTGTAGCACACCTTGTAGATACTGAGCATAAGGTTGACGTTAATACTGCATTTAAAATTATTTATCGCATTCCTACTAATCTTAATTTTGCTCTACGAGTTCGTCTTCTACATACAGCTGAAGCAATAGGAATCCACCTGAAGAAGCCAAGCCTGTGTGTTCAGAAGAAATTTGTACAGCCACTTTCCTTACCTTGGCCATCGTTACATGAATGTATAAACCGGACTACTTCGCCCTCCCCCTAAACCTATAAAAATTATAATTGTCCAAATTATTTTATTTTTTCTGACCACTTCATCTTTAATTACGTGTTATCCTTGTAAAATTAATTTATTCTAACCATTTCTACCTTTTAAATGTGTATTGATTTTCTTCGTCAATTGAATTACTCATTCATATCTGATGCGTATTCAAAAGTAGGAAAATGGATGTGGATAGAAGCAACTGAAAGGTGTTTTGGTGCATAGTATGAGAAACGCCATAGCAGATATTACAGCTGCATAAAAAGTCGATGAAACACCTTTAAAACAACCAAACGGAACATCTGATAAACACTAAAAATCTGATGCAGAAGTACATACTGTTTACAGTGGTTAACAAAGGTAGACTAATATTTTGATGCCTGTTTCATGACTCATATCACTGGAGAAAGATTTTAAAAACAAGAGATGTTCTTTTTACGTATGAGCCATTTTTCAGGTATTGGTTTGTAGGGATTTTGTTTGATGGGTTGGAGGATTTCATCATGAGCTGACATCGGTAAGGGAACCATTGGAAGAAGACATTGCTAAGTGGTCGCGCTATGTCATGAATTAGCAGAAGTTAGAATTGATGAGCTGGCCATTGGATCGGGTCCCAGTGGCTTAATGGTCTACGAGGTCGCTAGCCTTGTAACCAGGAGGTCTTGGGTTCGAACCCCTCCCTGTGAGTGTGTACTGATGAAGAGTCCGGAACTAGGTTGAAAAAGCTGTCCAGTACTCCATGCAGGTGTTTTCCAATGGTTCTGTAACTGATGTCAGCTCATGATGAAATCCTTCAACCAATATAAACCTTTGTTACTTTAATTTCGATTAATTTCCTTGAAGAGAAGTTCGAACCAGTTTGCCGAAGGAAACGTTGGGATTGGATTACTCATTTCAATTTCGCCGAGATTTTACAAAGATAAATTTTTACAAATGTCTACTTCTCACTTGGTACCCAATTATTACAGGAACTATTTGATCATATCTTGATCACAGTTCATATGAATTATCCTGTTCTTATGTCTACTTATTTCCATCCAAAGACATGCTTATCAAGCTGACCTGACAGTATCTTTATATATGACCAATTAATGGCACAAAGCTTTGACGACTGATCTCTCTTCTAGCCTAATGATATGTTCAATAAGATTGTTTGGTCATTTACGTCATTCTGAGCTATTGGGAAAAAAACCCACTTCCAATGTCAAGATATGTCGGTTCCTGCTTCAGTAAAGTACGAATTTTGATGTTTAGTAGAAAGAAGTAAAGAATCTACATATCGGCATGTTTATCTTAAGTGTGTATATAAGTATACATAAATTTAGAAAGGTTGGTTAAGCCTATAAACCTGTCCACCACATGTTCGCTGGAATGATAATACTGATAATAATAATCTACCTGAAATCAGACAGATATCAGATGTTTCCCGCTGATAAATATATGAATGAATACAAGATAAATAAAGTAAATAAAGAAAATATTATTTTTATTATTATAATTACTAACAGTCATAGGCATCATGACGATTGTTATTTATCTGTAGAAGTGTGAGGAAAATAAACTACACAACTTATCCACTAAATTAGCATACATAATTTTTTTTTCAAGTATTGGTTTTTGTAGGGATTTTGTTTGATTAGTTGGAGGATTTCATCATGAGCTGACATCAGTTAGAGAACCATTGGAAAACACCTGCAGGGAGTACTGGACAGCTGTTTCAACCTAGTTCGGGACTCTTCATAGTACGCACTCACTGTCAGGGTTCGATCCCAAGTCGTTCTGGTTACAAGGCTAGTGAGCTCGTAGACCATTAAGCCACTGGGACATAATCCACTGGACAGTCCATGTATTCCAACTTCTGTGGATTGAAGACATAGCAAGAACATTTCTCAATGTCTTCTTCGATGAGTTACTGACTCACCTTCAACCTTCTGTACCCAACTAGTCACGGCTTCCTACTAGAATTCCAGGTAACTACCTGAATAGGGTCAGTTGCTAGTGAGCATCAGGTTAAATTTCAAGTATTGGTCTTCGAGCTTCATTGGTAACCGAAAGGTCTTGGGTTCAAACCCCAGTGAGTGCGTACTGATGAAGAGTCCAAAACTAGGCTGACAGAACAGCTGTCCAGTACTCCCTGCACGTGTTTTCCAATGGTTCGCTAACTGATATCAGCTCATGATGAAATCCTCCAACCAGTCATACATAATTTTTTATTAATCTATTCTGTTGTTTGTTGTTCACAAGAGATCTGAAAAGCACTTGCTGAATGAACTAAGCACACTGCAAAAAATCTTAGCAGTAGTCATTTTGCCTTTTGAAATCTCCCTATTCCAATTTTAAATCTTGTAATGGTAAATTAAACTTTGTGAATTATAGATAAGTCTGGTATATTAAAATAATCTGGATACAGTGAAAATAAATTGGTTTTCTTTGTTTATATTTGGCGTTCTTCATTTAAATTTTGCAATTTTAAAATCTGATTTAAAAGTCTAAACTAGCTCTTTAAAGTTTTAGTCTTTTCTTTCTGGTATAAGATTTAAATTATCGGGAGTTGATATCAATTAAGGAACCGTTAAATACCATGAAGTATCCGTCAAATGCTTGGTCGTAGTGTCAGATTTTTCGTTCCTATTTACAAATCATCAGTGTTCGGACCCCAGCCTCTGGGGTTGCAACCCAAACCCTTCGATTCCTGGGATATGACTTAGTTGCTTGGGCATCAGTTCTAAGGTCAACTGATTTATTCTTATTGCGCGCTAATTATCCATTGTGCTTGTTTCTCACCCAGTGGTGGTCGCCACTTTTTATAGTCATTCCTGGCCTTGTGGACCTTTCGGGTGACCTTGTTTAGTTTGAAATTCATGTTAATTCGTCATTTCGGCGGGATTTGGCTAGTTTCAAGTTTGATTTCAGATTTTTATTTGGAGGGGTTTGAATTCTTTTGATGTTTATTGAGTCGTGTTCTAGTGGTTAATTTGTAATCAGGTGGTTGTCATTTCGAAGGCTCCCGGTTGTTTATTTGTAATCAGTTGGTCCTTAGGTCGAAATCTGCTGGGTAGTTGTTTGTAATGCTTACCGAACCTGGCAGAAAATCAATTTACATCCGTATCCAATTACTCTTGGTCAATTAAATAAAATTAATTAAATCCCATCAAAAACTTCCTTTAAAAGTTCAATAACATTAACCAGTTAACAGCTCCATCCTACAGGAGTAATTTGATGATTGAAAACACGTAACACTTACATTGTCTTATTTCCGCTTGTTGCTTGTAGATTATTAGCTATTATTTCGTTGTTATTCAAGTGCAACATAGGTTTTTAATTATTCTTATTTCCTTTGTTTTCTATTGGGACGTCGGCTTTAGAAAACTCCCCACTTTTTTGCTGGTACTGACCAAACTCTTTCATCTCTTCCCCACACGATCTCTTCCATGTCACCCTAAGACGACCAACTCGTCGCTTCTTATTGCGCTTCCATTCGAGCGATAGCCTGGTGTGTGATGTCATTCGACGGCCTCTGCAATGTATGCCCGACCCATCTCCATTTTCTCCTACATATTTGTTGAACGATCGGCTCTTCATTGGTTTGTTTCCATAGTTTCTTGTTGCTTATTACTTTTCGCTGGCCATTTGAACTTCAGTATGGAGCCAACGAAGTTGGCAGCCGTTGATGAAAGTCTGCAACCTGTTGGAAATTCTTTTCGCGACACGTTGGTCAAACGTCTGACTCGTACAGAAGAACC